TATAGCCAAAGAAAGAATTGTCTGAGTAAATACCTCAGTGAGTAAAGTACTTGCCATACAAACATGAGGAACTAAGTTTAGAGCCCTAATAACCATGTAAATCCAAGCATAGAAGTGCAGGCCTATAATACCAGTGCTGGGGGTGGGGTTGACAGGTGGATCCCTGGAGCTTGCTGGCCAGTCAGGCTAGATGACACAGTAAACTCCAGATTAAGTAACAGACCCTGTCTCAAACAAATAGGATGGACTGCAATAGAAGGTGCATGACATGACACATATGTATGCATACAACACACACACACACACACACACACACACACACACACACAGGTGAGCACACTCACACACACAGGTGAGCCTACTCACACACATCCAAACTATCACACAGAAACAGAAACAGAAGGACAGAGAAAAAGTAGTATTTTCCTTGATAAGTCAATAACCACAACAAAATAATTAAATTAAGAATATATAATTTTAATACTTAAATACATACAAATATATGCACATATACACAGAGAGAAAGACAGCAAGACAGAGAGAGAAATTTACCTACAGAAGATGGCATTTGGAGAACATTTTTGTCCCATTTCCTAACAAGTTCCAAATGATTTTACCTAGTTGTTCTTCTGTCTTCTATGTTAAAGTCTTCAAGCAAACAAACTTACCAAGCCACAACATAATTATTCATCAAATGGCAAAGAGAACATTCATCAAGTTTATTGGTTTATCGATTGATCAGCTCACTCATTCATACATATAATAAAATTTCAGAAATACTTGCGAAAATGCCACACACTGTTTCAGATATTGGAGACAAAACACTGAGCTGAGAAAATGAAAGATGGGGCATGCTTTAAGAAAGCATTTAACAAAAAAAAAGAAAGAGAGAGACCCTATCAACTAGTGGAAGAATAGATATTAAAGAGTTATACACAGAGCCAATGAAGTGGTGTATACCATGTATACCTCAGCATTCAGGGGGCTGAGACATGAAGATAAAGTCAAGTTCAGTACCAACCTGGGCTACACAGGGTGTCTAAGCCAGCAAAGGCTACATAGTAAGACCATATCTAAAACCTTTCCTCCCTCTAAAATAGAATAACACACAATATTTTGTAAAAACTATAAAGAGAATATATATATATATATATATATATATATATATA